ATAATTACATAATTACAATTTTGCCATTAATGAAAAGGGCGGATCGCGCAGGGTCCGAGTTTTTGCACTCGGATCCTGTCCAAAAAATGTCTGAAATTCATCTCAAAATTACTGAAATTGCCACTGCATATGTATAAAATTACCCTTTTTAATTGAATTTTTTTAGTTAAATATCAATGGCAATTTCAGTAGTATTAGAATGAATTTTAGGCATTTTGCTAAATGTACTTCTGTTTTAATATTATAAAGATTCAAGTATTAAAATGGGCAAAAAAGAATATTTTGTGTACTAATCTGGGTATGTAAAAAGTTCGTGTATTAAAATGGTAATTAAAATTAAGTTGGTATATTACTATGGAATTTTCCTATTTGTTATTATCAAATGGGAAAATGAATTTCCATTACACATACATATAACTAACAACAATTTCTCGACCCAACAAAAAAAAACAACAACTTCTTTCCGATCAATCATAGTGGAGTTTCTATGATTTCAGTGAAATCTACAACCATTCCTCCTTCGTTTTCTACCATTGGTTGAAGGCTCGAGCTACAATTCTCAGATTTTGCTAAATGGACAGTTACGCCAAAGCTTTGTAGTATCCAAATCAGTCGAACGAAATCCCCGTCTCCAATTACAAGAAGGATGTTGCATGGCATACCGAAATCCCTTACATGACCAAACATGAGATGAGATGCTCCACTGTATCATCCGCAATGTCAGTAACTGCTTCATAATTAGCTGAAAATAAAATACAAATGGGGTTTAAATTGGAAATAATAAATTTGATTTAAATGGAAATACATAGAAAAGTGAGACAATTAGTTTTACCTCGACGACGAATGTAGCGAACAACAACCTAAATTGTCTCTTTACATTCAACACTAGTACTATCTCTAGGATATATATCATGGAAAACACCGTCTTTCCAAACATTGTATCTGGGAAGGTTGTCCCCGAAGAATCCAATCATGTTTCCAACTCCGATTATATTACTTTTATAGATGCGAGCGTTTGGCCTTTCGCTTATTAGAAATTTTAAAACCATGTCTCTCATGGAATCAATAACAAAAGTAAGGGGCAACCGATCTTTGATGTTTTCAATGTCTACAAGGACAAAATAAGCATTGCGACGAGTATACTGGGTTATCTTTGACTTGTTATCTGCTAGCTTTTTTTGTTCTTCGTTGAGTGTCAGAACTCCAAGTCTTCTATTCGGGGTTGGGGGATGCTGATTGTCGTTGTTTTGCCTTTCTTAGTCTGTTTTCCGCTTGGACCCATCCTGAGTTTGTTGAATATATACGTAGAACAGAGTTTATATAATCTGAAACGATAGTTTATAATCTGAAAATAGTAATCTGATTTAGGTTTAGGCTACATATTTATAGAGTTAAAGTTAGGTTTAGCGGCATATTTCCTTAAACTAAAAAGGAATAAACAAATGATTTCCTTCTTTCATTTTTCCCTTTTTTTTTGTTGTCGTCGTCGAAACACATGATTTCCTTTTACAGTGGGGGAATTACCCGGAAACAAAAACCCCAGTCTGAATCGGAAAATCAATCCAAGATTTAAGTCTAACTTGTCAAGTGAGCAATTAAAAAATTAAATTTCTCTCTCTAAAAAAAGCTCCCAGACATAATTTTTGAGAGTTTCTTCTTTTGGAGTATGTTGATTGCTCAATGTATCTATTATAAACACTATATTTTTGGCCCGCGCATGCACGTGCATTTTCATAATATATAATTTATTTATTATATGTAATTTAGGGTCTTTTAGATTAAGTTTGTTTATAATTCTTATAAGAGATTTTGTCTCAATTAAATATGTAATCAAATTTCATGTGCAGTTAAATAGAATATAATTTGATAATAAAAGTTNATGTGAAGTTAAATAAAATAAACTTGAATTCATACTTATTTATATTGGCTCACTACCTTTTATGTATTATGAATAAAGTTTTTGTGTTTTATTTTTGTTACATTTTCGTGGTTCAATATCATTTTTTTACTGTTCAACAATTTCTATATTATATTTACAATTCTTTTCATATAAATTAGATTATTCTCTTTTTTTATACCGGATATAATTTGAATTATATTTCAATTCACATCTTTTTATTCTTTTGTTTAATAAATTTGAGCAAAAGAATTGGCATCCTGAAGGCAAACCTCCTAGCCACATGAGAACCAACTCAATACATATGTGTATTGGATTATGAAACTCGCAAATATGTAATTCATCATCTTATGTCTCTTTCACATGCACTCTTTCTAATCAATATTCGCGTGGTTACTTTACAATATTCTTGTTCAGTTGTTTTCATATTCTTTGAAATATATTTTAACTTGATTTTTGTATGATCTCCGCTATCATTGTGAAATCATAACATTTTTTTACATTAATCTTTAAAATACATGTATAGCCGAAAGAATGGAATTGTATATACATTCATAACCAATGCCACATAGTTACCTTTTTTTTAATCATCAATCATATATAGTCGATTTGTTATTTGCATGCCAAATCTTTATTTACATCATTGATTTATAAGAAACGTTCTTCTTTAACAATGCCAAAATCTCCATTTCATGGACTATAGTCCACTAAAGTTGTGAAAAAACAAAATATCCATGGATTTTTAAGTCTAATAAAAAAAGGGTTGTGTGATTAACAATGAATGAATGGGCCCTTATTAATTGATGGCAAAAAAGGTTTTATTCATTCAATTTTCACAAAAAATGGTAAAGCAATTGATTCCAAACATCAGGAACTCCAGGTACACACCAGTGAATACAATCAGAATATAACTCCGGTTTATTCAACCGGTCTTCGGTTAGAGGTTCCCAAAATTTCCGGTACACTGTGGGATGACCATCTTTACGATACTCAGACAACTGAGTGATGTTTATAACAGAAACCTTTGGTCCCAATCTCTTCAAAACTCTGTCCACCATTCTCATTGTCGGAATATCTGATCCACCTCCCCAATAACTCTCTTCCTCTATCGGTTTTTTCTCCCCGTAGCAGTTTCCTTCGCTTCCCGGGTTCCATTCCCGGCTCCTGTTCCGTTACAACAGCTCGGTTTCAATGCGAAATTTAAAATCTGATCAATTTGATAGAGAACGGGGAATACGTATTGTTACCATTGATGTGTAGGAGACATTGTAACGAAGAATACACGCTTTCTTTTCGGATCGACATTGTTAGCAATCCAATCACCCCAAGCATTCATCGCCATCTCCATTCCCCCATCGCCCTTCACCTCCTCGCATGACCCTTTTTCTTCACTGCTCCATCTTTTAGTTCAAATACACAATTATGAGTTAATAATCTTTAAGGTTTGAGTACCAAATTTTTGGTTCTGCAGATAAAGAAGATGATATTTATATGTACTTACTGGATCTTGACAGGGCCTTGCCTCCACCATAAGTATGTGTTGAAGATTAAGATGTCAGCATGTTGCCACTTTGATGCATGTTTAAGAACTGAATCGGGTCGGATTATCCGTTCCTCCAATCTATGATTAACCGGATCATCAGAATTCGATTCCACGAGCAACGGAGCCCAGAGAAATTCAACAGTAGCATTGTAATCCTGCATGTACATACACCAAAGTGATCAATCACCACACCAAAACCGGAAACAAAGAGTTCTCGAGGAGGCATAAAACTTTTAAGTCGATATGCCTTTATTACCTCTGCCCTGAAAATGGTGAGGTGAGCATTAGGAGACATGGATTGCTTCTCACGTGGGATTACAGACTGTAACAGACAAACCATTGATATCCATTGTCCTCTGTTTAATGAATCTCCAACAAACATCAATCTCTTATCCCTTAGCTTCTCCCACATTTCTCTCACATTCCACCTACCAAATTCACAGTACAACACAGATACAATTAGCAGCAAAAAATCATCGATTTTCTATGCTCTCTAAGATCTTCCTAACAATTCTTCATTTGACCCAAAACAATCACTGAATCTGACTTAAACCAAAGCACACAATTCTCATTTGACCAAAAAAAGCAAGTAAGTACCTCTTCAAGTTGCAGGCATGAGGTTGCCATCTCCAATACTGATACTCCAAATCGGTCCTCCCATGCTTCTGACAAGCCAACTGGTCCGACATGTACGGACACTCAGATTCCTTATGTAATGGGTACGACGAATTATCAAAGACCCATTTCCCAGAGAACACATCACATCCCTCTTCCTCTGCACTTCCTTGACCCGGGTCTTCATTCGGGTCAACCCATCCTATTTTCTTCCCACTATACTCATTCGTCGAGTTACATCGGCTAAATCTATCCAAAACCTCTGCATCGAAACTAGTACGAA